GATAGATAGATAGATAGATAGATAGATAGATAGATAGATAGATAGATAGATAGATAGATAGATAGATAGATAGATAGATAGATGTTTTCAAACGAAAATCCAACATTCCGTCAGTCTGTAAATTCGGCATACTAATTTTAGTTACTTTTTACAATTTATTTAACGAGTTTCCCCATTGGGAACACCAGCCAAGACGTAAACTGATATGAAACACAAATAATTAAAAAAAAAAAAAAAGTGCTCGTTTCTGTAATTAAAGTCAGGTGGGTTACTTTAGCACCGACTTGTAAAGGCATTTCTGCTTTATTTGAGTTCTTTCATATTTGGTCTTACTAACTTGAAGTGTTTGCTTTCATTTAGGACGTTTTAATTTGGACAACCAACCTCCAGCTGTGAGACGCTACACTACAGCAGCTAGCTTAGCTACGCAGTTAGCCTGGCTGCTAACCGGTGAGCTCAGCTATCTGCCGCCGGCCCGGTTCCGCTGAAACTTCGGTGAAGTCTCCGGTCGGTCCATGAGGATCAGTACAAACACAGTCCGGCACAGAAAAAAAGACAAAAAAGAAGGAATGTTTTAAAAACAATAAATTTGCTTGAACCCCTGGATCCAAGCGACAACAAACAGAGTGCCTGACGTCGCGTGACGCGATGACGTCACGAATGTATATGTCCCATTGACAAAAACAGAAAGGAGTCAAAACGGGACTTTTTATAGGTCTTGGTATGCCATGTAAATAATTTATGTGTAGGAAATTCACCAACGAAAATTAGAAGGGCTTCAGGAAATTCTGTTAGTCAAAATGAGAAATTTTCATCCAATTACTCAAAAAACTTACTGTTGTCTGAAGAATTGTATGTTTGTTAAAATTATAACAGCCTGCAAAAATCAAGAAGCTAAGATGACCACGGCGTCCAGGAAATTGATCTTTTTAGATTTAATCATTTAAAAATAAAGCAGTTTTCACTGCCATGTGCTGCCCATATTTCCTTGCCCCATTGACTTTTCCAAAATGACATGTCATCTATAGTGCT